TCTGCTTCTGACAGTTGTATATTTAGATTTCTAAATTAATGTTAATTCTGTTCTTATGCATGTGCTTACTCTCCTTGTGTTATGCTTTTCTTCTTTTTCCATTCAAATGATACCAGGTAAAGTTTTGTACTCAACATATTTAAATTGGTATAAATTCTAAATCTATGAGATTGTTTTTACTTTTAAAAACTTTCTAGAAATATACCTGAACTACTGTAATACTACCAAAATAATGATGCACCTTTAGTTATCTTTGAAAAAATTGGAATATTACAATTGTATTTCAGTTTTTTTTAGCATTTAATTAAATATAGTTTAGTGCTAAAAGTAACTTAAATATACAGTAGTCCCCCCTTCAGGACAGTTTTACTTGGAGGTTTTAGTTACCTAGGGTCCAAATATTAGTCTGAAAATATTAAATGGACAATTCCAGAAAAAAAACTATTCATAAGTTTTAAATTGTGCACCCTCCTGAGTAGCTTGATGCAATTCGATCTGTTCCATTCCACTTGGACAGAGCTCATCCCTTTGTCCAGTGACTCCACACTGAAGATGCTCTCCACCCTTTAGTCACCAGGTAGCCCTCAGAGAGACATCACATTCACATAACTTTTATTACAGTATATAGTTATAATTGTTCTACTTTATTAGTAGTATTGTTAATTTTTTACTGTGCCTTATTTATAAGTTAAACTTTATCATAGGTATGTATAGGAAAAAAATATACATAAGGTTCAGTACTAGCTAAAGTTTCAGGTATTCACTGGGGGGACTTGCAATGTATTTCCAACAGTTAAGTGGGATTACAGTAGCTGAATGCAGGCCTATTGAGGGATGAAGAAAATGATATAGGTACTATAGAAATCTAGTCTCATCAATTTGAGGCCAGTTTTTATTTTTTTATTTTTGTAAGTAGACCTATTAGGTCATAAGCACCAGGAATCTAAATGATCCTTTTACTTTGGGGAAGGCAGGTGCTTTATTCCTGTTACTGTGTTTTATTTATACTTTGGTCGACTGTTTTTTTGTGTTGGTTATTTTTTTTTTGGTGTTGAGTAATATGAGTTCTTTATAAATTTTGGATATTAACCCTTTTCTTTGGTGAATATCTTTTCCCATTCAGTAAGTTGTCTTTTCATTTTATTAATGGTTTCATTTGCTGTACAAAAAACATTTTAGTTTGATGTAATCCCATTTGTTTGTTTTTTCTTTTGTTTCCCTTGCCTGAAGAGATATATCAGAAAAAATATTCCTAAGAGAAATGTCTGATATTTTACTGCCTGTGTTTTCTTTTAGGAATTTTATGCTTTCGAGTCTTAACATCAAGCCTTTTAAAAAATATTTATCGTTGAGTGTATTAGAGATGTCCCCCCCCATTGCCCCTCTCCACCTGGCTTCTGTCCTACTCGAGGCCTTCACCACTCTATTGTTGGGGTCTACAGATAATGCATACCCTATATAATAAAAGGGTCGGCCAGTTGGCCATTCAACCAATCAAATGTAATATGCTTATGAGTGCTAAGGCCGCTCAGTCTCTCACTATGATGTCCACTGACCACCAGGGGGCAGACAGTTTACCAGTTGCTATGATGTGCACTGACCACCAGGGGGCAGACGCTCCAACCGGTAGGTTAGCTTGCTGCTGGAGTCCAGCCGATAGGGACTGAGCAAGACGTGCCAGACACGCCCTGGAGCCCTCCCGTGGTCCCTCTCTGGCTGGGCAACCTCCTGCGTCCCTCCCCGGCCCTGACTGTGCACTGGTGGGGTCCCTTGACCTGGCCTGCGCCCTCTCACAATCAGGGACCCCTCGGGGGATGTTGGAGAGCCAGTTTCGGCCTTATCCCGCAGGTCAGGCTGAGGAACCCCAGTGGTGCACGAATTCGTGCACCGGGCCTCCAGTCTATCCTATCTAATAATAGACAAACATGGTAATTAACCGTACTTCTGACACGCTTCCCATTGGCTAATCAGGGCAATATGCAAATTAACTGCCAACCAAGATGGC